GTCAAAATTTCCCATTCCCATAACTCGGTCAAATCTCATCCGATTTTCACGAGGTTTAGTTTTTTATTCATGGTTTGGGCTCTAGATCAATTTGGCATTTAAGTTTGGGGACCTTATTTTTGGTCCATATTCATGTCAAATTTTACCCTGGACTTGGATCAATCCTCATGTAGACATGGGTCAAAATTTCCCACTCCCATAACTCGGTCAAATTTCATCCGATTTTCACGAGGTTTAGTTTTTTATTCATGGTTTGGGCTCTAGATCAATTTGGCATTTAAGTTTGGGGACCTTATTTTTGGTCCAAATTCATGTCAAATTTTACCCTGGACTTGGATCAACCTCAAGTGGACATGAGTCAAAATTTCCCATTCCCATAACTCGGTCAAATCTCATCCGATTTTCACGAGGTTTAGTTTTTTATTCATGGTTTGGGCTTTAGATCAATTTGGCATTTAAGTTTGGGGACCTTATTTCTGGTCCAAATTCATGTCAAATTTTACCCTGGACTTGGATCATTCCTCATGTAGACATGGGTCAAAATTTCCCATTCCCATAACTCGGTCAAATCTCATCCGATTTTCACGAGGTTTAGTTTTTTATTCATGGTTTGGGTTCTAGATCAATTTGGCATTTAAGTTTGGGGACCTTATTTTTGGTCCAAATTCATGTCAAATTTTACCCTGGACTTGGATCAACCTCAAGTGGACATGGGTCAAAATTTCCCATTCCCATAACTCGGTCAAATCTCATCCGATTTTCACGAGGTTTAGTTTTTTATTCATGGTTTGGGCTCTAGATCAATTTGACATTTAAGTTTAGGGACCTTATTTTTGGTCCAAATTCATGTCAAATTTTACCCTGGACTTGGATCAACCTCAAGTGGACATGGGTCAAAATTTCCCATTCCCATAACTCGGTCAAATCTCATCCGATTTTCACGAGGTTTAGTTTTTTATTCATGGTTTGGGCTCTAGATCAATTTGGCATTTAAGTTTGGGGACCTTATTTTCGGTCCAAATTCATGTCAAATTTTACCCTGGACTTGGATCAATCCTCATGTAGACATGGGTCAAAATTTCCCACTCCCATAACTCGGTCAAATTTCATCCGATTTTCACGAGGTTTAGTTTTTTATTCATGGTTTGGGCTCTAGATCAATTTGGCATTTAAGTTTGGGGACCTTATTTTTGGTCCAAATTCATGTCAAATTTTACCCTGGACTTGGATCAATCCTCATGTAGACATGGGTCAAAATTTCCCACTCCCATAACTCGGTCAAATTTCATCCGATTTTCACGAGGTTTAGTTTTTTATTCATGGTTTGGGCTCTAGATCAATTTGGCATTTAAGTTTGGGGACCTTATTTTTGGTCCAAATTCATGTCAAATTTTACCCTGACTTGGATCAATCCTCATGTAGACATGGGTCAAATTTTCCCATTCCCATAACTCGGTCAAATTTCATCCGATTTTCACGAGGTTTAGCTTTTTATTCATGGTTTGGGCTCTAGATCAATTTGGCATTTAAGTTTGGGGACCTTATTTTTGGTCCAAATTCATGTCAAATTTTACCCTGGACTTGGATCAATCCTCATGTAGACATGGGTCAAAATTTCCCACTCCTATAACTCGGTCAAATTTCATCCGATTTTCACGAGGTTTAGCTTTTTATTCATGGTTTGGGCTCTAGATCAATTTGGCATTTAAGTTTGGGGACCTTATTTTTGGTCCAAATTCATGTCAAATTTTACCCTGGACTTGGATCAATCCTCATGTAGGCATGGGTCAAAATTTCCCATTCCCATAACTCGGTCAAATCTCATCCGATTTTCACGAGGTTTAGTTTTTTATACATGGTTTGGGCTCTAGATCAATTTGGCATTTAAGTTTGGGGACCTTATTTCTGGTCCAAATTCATGTCAAATTTTACCCTGGACTTGTATCAATCCTCATGTAGACATGGGTCAAAATTTGCCACTCCTATAACTCGGTCAAATTTCATCCGATTTTCACGAGGTTTAGCTTTTTATTCATGGTTTGGGCTCTAGATCAATTTGGCATTTAAGTTTGGGGACCTTATTTTTGGTCCAAATTCATGTCAAATTTTACCCTGGACTTGGATCAATCCTCATGTAGACATGGGTCAAAATTTCCCACTCCCATAACTCGGTCAAATTTCATCCGATTTTCACGAGGTTTAGTTTTTTATTCATGGTTTGGGCTCTAGATCAATTTGGCATTTAAGTTTGGGGACCTTATTTTTGGTCCAAATTCATGTCAAATTTTACCCTGGACTTGGATCAATCCTCATGTAGACATGGGTCAAAATTTCCCATAACCATAACTCGGTCAAATCTCATCCGATTTTCACGAGGTTTAGTTTTTTATTCATGGTTTGGGCTCTAGATCAATTTGGCATTTAAGTTTGGGGACCTTATTTTTGGTCCAAATTCATGTCAAATTTTACCCTGGACTTGGATCAATCCTCATGTAGACATGGGTCAAAATTTCCCATTCCCATAACTCGGTCAAATTTCATCCGATTTTCACGAGGTTTAGTTTTTTATTCATGGTTTGGGCTCTAGATCAATTTGGCATTTAAGTTTGGGGACCTTATTTTTGGTCCAAATTCATGTCAAATTTTACCCTGGACTTGGATCAATCCTCATGTAGACATGGGTCAAAATTTCCCACTCCCATAACTCGGTCAAATTTCATCCGATTTTCACGAGGTTTAGTTTTTTATTCATGGTTTGGGCTCTAGATCAATTTGGCATTTAAGTTTGGGGACCTTATTTTTGGTCCAAATTCATGTCAAATTTTACCCTGGACTTGGATCAACCTCAAGTGGACATGGGTCAAAATTTCCCATTCCCATAACTCGGTCAAATCTCATCCGATTTTCACGAGGTTTAGTTTTTTATTCATGGTTTGGGCTCTAGATCAATTTGACATTTAAGTTTGGGGACCTTATTTTTGGTCCAAATTCATGTCAAATTTTACCCTGACCTGGATCAATCCTCATGTAGACATGGGTCAAAATTTCCCATTCCCATAACTCGGTCAAATCTCATCCGATTTTCACGAGGTTTAGTTTTTTATTCATGGTTTGGGCTCTAGATCAATTTGGCATTTAAGTTTGGGGACCTTATTTCTGGTCCAAATTCATGTCAAATTTTACCCTGGACTTGGATCAATCCTCATGTAGACATGGGTCAAAATTTCCCATTCCCATAACTCGGTCAAATCTCATCCGATTTTCACGAGGTTTAGTTTTTTATACATGGTTTGGGCTCTAGATCAATTTGGCATTTAAGTTTGGGGACCTTATTTTTGGTCCAAATTCATGTCAAATTTTACCCTGGACTTGGATCAATCCTCATGTAGACATGGGTCAAAATTTCCCACTCCCATAACTCGGTCAAATTTCATCCGATTTTCACGAGGTTTAGTTTTTTATTCATGGTTTGGGCTCTAGATCAATTTGGCATTTAAGTTTGGGGACCTTATTTTTGGTCCAAATTCATGTCAAATTTTACCCTGGACTTGGATCAATCCTCATGTAGACATGGGTCAAAATTTCCCATACCCATAACTCGGTCAAATCTCATCCGATTTTCACGAGGTTTAGTTTTTTATTCATGGTTTGGGCTCCAGATCAATTTGGCATTTAAGTTTGGGGACCTTATTTTTGGTCCAAATTCATGTAAAATTTTACCCTGGACTTGGATCAATCCTCATGTAGACATGGGTCAAAATTTCCCATAACCATAACTCGGTCAAATCTCATCCGATTTTCACGAGGTTTAGTTTTTTATTCATGGTTTGGGCTCTAGATCAATTTGGCATTTAAGTTTGGGGACCTTATTTTTGGTCCAAATTCATGTCAAATTTTACCATGGACTTGGATCAATCCTATACTCTGTTTTTGGTAAGATCTCGAAACATGCGATGCCTTCAGAAGAAAATTTTGCTAGTCTCAAGATAGCTTTGACGCTTCGTTGTGTTTTGATATGTAATTTAGAGACTTTTGCAATTAATGGATATATAATATACCATTATATGTTGAATGATTTGTAGGGCAAGTTGTGCCACACACAACTTTCAGTATACTTATCTATGGACTCTTTGTTACAATTGCAATTGTTCTATTTATAATGAATTATGAAAATAGATTATGATATGGAACGTAGTATAATTACATTTAATTTGTTTGGCTTTCAAACCTTGTGATGCCCCCGTTGTAATATATAGATATATATATATATAATTTTTTAAATCTTCTCACTTATCTCTCGAATGTCTTGTGTCTTTTGCTGCGTCATCGATGATGACAAGACCTCCCCCCCTCTCGCTTTTACACTTGCCAACCAGCCCCGTTTTTGTTCTAAAGCCTTTGCTACCAGATACTCTATATACCCTGTAGCTATGGCAAATGGGCGTGCAGAGGTTTCTATTGCAGTTGCGCAGCTTTGAGCACATATTATTGTTTCGAATATCTAGTTATCTCATGCATTTCATAATTCAGCAAGAGTTTATATCTTTTATTTGATATCCCATCCTATTTGTCAATTGTCAAACATAACTCGAGAACTTTACGAGCTATTCACACCAAACTTGGTATTTAGTTAGTCGTATATAGTTCAAGCATATTTAAATTATTGGAAAAGTCATAACACTTAATGCAGTATATGTAGAGGCAGCATCAGATGGAGCTGGTTGAAATGCTCGTAGCTAAATACAGGGTATCTACTCGTCTCGAGCTGAGTTTTGGTCATGTTGTGCGGGGACTTTGTTGGCATTCGGCGGGCGCTTAAAATGTCATTAATGTGCGTGTGTGTGTGTTTTAAGTTGTTTTTCGATATAAACAATCTTATCTAGGTCAGATTTTCAGCGATTTGATTGATTTGCCCGCAGCGATAAGAAAAACCGGCTGGCTCGTATAAAAGTGCGTGGTTCTTTTGAGAGTTCCCAATTTTAGTATACGAATAATAGAAACAACATGCTGAAGGTGTTTATTGTCGGCTCGTTGGCGCTCCTTGTGGCCATATCCAGCTCCAATTCCCAGCAGCTGCATCGGGTGCCGGTCTACAGGCAACAGAACTTTGTGAAGACACGCGCCAATATCAATGCCGAGTTGGCCCATGTGCGTGCCAAATATCAGGCGCCATTAAATCTGGATGCAGCAACAAACACGAGCACGAGCACAACGAGCCTTCCCTCGTTGGAGCTGTCGAACACAATGAATATGGAATACTATGGCGCCATCACCATTGGCACACCGCCTCAAAGCTTTAAAGTACAATTGGATACGGGCTCCTCGAACTTGTGGGTGCCATCGAATCAGTGCACCAGCCTGGCCTGCATGGATCACACCCAATACGATCCGGCCTCATCCACCAGCTATAAGTACAATGGCACCCCGATAACGCTACAGTATATAACCGGCACTATGACGGGCTATCTGGCCGTTGATGTGGTCAATGTGAATGGCATGAATATACCGGATCAGACGTTTGCTGTGGCCACAAGCGAACCGGGTACTATCCTAGTGGATGCCAGTTTCGATGGCATTTTGGGCTTGGCCTATCAGAGTCTGGCCATTGACAATGTTGTGCCGCCATTCTATAATATGATAGCATTGGGTCTGGTCGCAAATCCGGTCTTCTCGTTTTATTTGGCACGCAATGCCAGCTCGGATTTTGGCGGCGAATTGATCTTTGGCGGCTCCGATCACAGCCTGTTTGCAGGCAATATGGTCTATGTGGATGTCAGCACCCAGGATTATTGGCAATTTGAAGTGGATAACATAACAATGAACGGTCAAGTCTTGTGCAGCCAATGTCAGGCTGTTGCCGATACGGGCACCTCATTGATTTTGGCACCGAAAGCTGCCTTTGAATTGATCGAGTCTCAGCTGAATATCGATGCCGATGGATTAATCGATTGTACACGCACATATCCAACGCTTAAGCTTGCCATTGGCGGTGCCATCTTTGGCATACCATCGTCGGCCTATATTGTTTTCGAATCGGACAATATCTGTGTACTGGGCATTAGTTACACAACCACCGATTTATGGATTTTGGGCGATGTCTTTATTGGTCAGTATTATACGGAGTTTGATTTGGGCAAGAATCGCATCGGATTCGCTTCCGTTCACGGATTAAACTATACCGCCGGTGGCGGGGCGTCCAGCCTGAAACACTTGCGCTTCCTGGAATTTGGAGTCGTGTTGGCTCTGCTTTGGAAAGCTTTGGCATATCTTAATTGAGCGGTGATATATCGAGAAATTTCTTTAATCAGGTTTTTTTTTTGTTTTTGTTAAAATTTAATTATATAAATCTCTGTGCTGAATCTGATCTGATATGCAGTTATACTATCTGAAATAAATTCTATTTAGACCGACAACTTTACGGAACAGAAATCCAAAATAGATAATTGAAGAAGCACAAAAGGAATGGGAACCTGTGTTTGAAGAGAAGCGAAGAAAAGAGAAGAGAAGAGAGAAGAAGAGAGAAGAAGAAAGAAGTATAGAGAAGAAGAGAGAAGAAGAGAGAAGAAGAGAGAAGAAGAGAGAAGTAGAGAGAAGTAGAGAGAAGAATATAGAAGAAGAGAAAAGAGAAGAGAAAGGAAGAGAGTGGAAATCGAATTGAAGAGAAGTAAAGAGTAGAGAAAAGAGAAGATCTTATAGATCTCAGTAGATTCTTCTGCAAATCACAAAACCAACAAAAACGATAAAAGAACTTGCCAAATTCAATGCTCAACCGATCTTAAATACTTTGATTCCAATCGAAGCTGTCTGAGAAAAAGTCTCAGGAAGTTCAGAATATCGCATTTTATCCCTTCTTTGGCAGACTTGCTATAATATACAGCGCGATCTAATCTAATCTAATGAAGAACTAATAAGGACTCTTAAAGTTGCATTAGACGTGAAGCTTGCAGCGCGTAATTCTCTGGTTACGATCCAAAAGAATGTTGAAAGTGAACCTTAAGATCGCGCTGGCTTATAATAATCAACACAGCTTCGGGGATGATCTACACTCAGGCCAGTCGGTCAGCTGATTGAGTTGCATCTGGAACTGGAACCGTTGCACAAAAACGGACAAATTGCTAAGAAAAAAGTTCAAGATTCTTTTCATCTTCTTGTGGAGTGCGCTTAATTGGGCCGCCGTTTCGCGTGATTTATTGTAAAAAAAAAACAGCGCAAGAGAAGTAAAAGATGAAGTTGAGGCTTTGCAGTTACTGAACTGCGAATGCACGCATTATTTATGTCTTGTTATCTGTATACCCTGTAACCATTGGAACATGTAAGCGGGTAGGCGTTAATATATCTCTCTTTGATCAGGGTCTGTTCCACACTGGAAAGTTTCATAAAGTACATCATGCGCATTCTGATATCTATTTGCTTGCATAATATCGATAAATATCGATTTGGGGACTTTGCTCGACTTTGCTACGAACAAAGTTCTCGGAACATATGCTTATACTCTTATAGTAAGTCAAGTATTGTCCAGCTGACTGCAGGGTATACCCTAGTCGTGCACGCTTACTGCGTTCTGCTTGGGGATTAGGAATTATGCGCTGTACGCCGAGCACACTCGCAGCTCCCACACACACAACAAAAAACAAAATATATATATATATATCTTTGTTGGTGGGCCGCCAACGTTGGAGCCAGAGAACAAACGAGCGAAACTCTAATGAGCGTTGGGGGTTTAATAAGTGCAATTGGCTGGGAAGCTTCGGAGCTTGGTTAAATTTATTGGCCAAGCAATTGCACATTTCGACGCTCATCAAATACCAATAAAATATCATTTGTTGTAATTTGAGAGCCAGCTTTGTAGAAGCAGGCGGAGGACCACCACAGTTTTGCCTGTGGCTCTGATGAGCCGGGGGCTTTAGCTTGGACTCGAGACTTGAACCAGGTTTCAGTTGCGAGGATCTGCGATCTGCGATCATGATCTCTCCCTGTCTCGCTCTTTCTCGTAGCAATCTGTCTCATTAGAGTTGCCACAGCGCTTGATTTATTATTGTTGAGCTTGTTGTTGTTGTTGTTGTTCTTGTCGATAAATCACATTAAAATATTTGCTGAAACACACAAAAAACGAAGCGATTTGTGCCCCCAGACACAGTTGGGTCTGTCTTTGGGCTTGACAAATCTCTAAACGAAATCAGTTAACAACTTAACTAATGATTATCAATGTGTGTTTAAGCAACACCAACAACAACAACAACAACAACAATAGCGACAACCACAAACGACATTTTCGATAAGCGACCGCAAACAACTTGTTGCCACAGACCACAAAAAGCCGCACAGATCAGCGGCAATCAAACACAGATACAAACACACACAACAAATGAAAACATCTTTGATAACGGCTTTGTCGCTTTGGCTCATCTGCAAATTGTGCGTATTTGCATAGTTAGTCCTTGGGCTACTCAATACACACAAGCGAAAATGTTAGTATTGGACGGGAAAATAAGAAGGAAATTTATACATACATCAATATGGGTATATATAGTTTCTTTCGTTCAGACAGCTAGTCGGTTTTCATTCAGTCAATCAATTGATCCAGTAGTCTGCCCAGCATCACACTTTGTCAGTCATTCATAAAGTCAATCGATCACTTATTCAATCAGTCCGTCGAGTTATCTGTCAGTCATTCATTCAGTCAATCACTCAATCATTTCGTCAGTCAGTCTAACATTCATTCAATTGTTTCGACATTCAATCACTGTCAGTCATTCTTTCCAGTTAATCAATCAATAATTCAGTCAATCAATCAATCCATTAGTTCGAGTAGTTATCACCCATTAAGTGAGTCAGTCATTCATTAAGTCAATAAATCAGTCATTCATTCAATCACTTATTCAATCAGTGTGTCGAGTTATCTGTCAGTCACTCAATCATTTCGTCAGTCAGTCTAACATTCATTCAATCCTTTCGTCAGTCTGTCAGTAATTCTTTCCAGTCAGTCAGTCATTCAATCAGTCAATCAATTGATTCGCTAGTCTCTCTAATAGTCACTCATTTAGTCAGTCAGTCGTTCTTTGAGTCAATCAATCAGTCACCTATTCACCTATTCACCTATTCAATCAGTCTGTCGAGTTATCAGTCAGTCATTCATTCAATCAATCACTCAGTCAGTCAGTCTAACATTCATTCAATCGTTTCGACATTCAATCACTGATATAATCAGCCAGTCAGGCATTCAATCTGTCAGTCAGTCTGTCAGTCATTCTTTCCAGTCAGTCAGTCATTCAATCAGTCAATCAATTGATTCGCTAGTCTCTTTAATAATCACCCATTTAGTCAGTCAGACGTTCTTTGAGTCAATCACTCAATCACTCATTAATAATTCTACGCTCTGGATATTTTAGTTTTGTTTTCTTTTTAGATTTCAAACTAACCTTTTGCGACTGGTGTCTGGCACTTGGCAAATCTTTGACGATAATGCCTTGTCTTCGATATATTCGCTTATTGGCAGTTAAATATGCCAAACCCTTAAACGATATCCTTCACCGCGTGCTGCCCCTTTCGCTCGCTGTCTTGATACCCTTCAAAATATGCAAATTAAATGTAAATAAGTTTGCAACTATTCGGCAAAGTCTCTTTGGCATATCCATTCAGGCACAGATACTGATACAGAACGTATGTCTTCGTCTGTGTGTTTGCCAGATGTTAATGCTCCGATAAGGATGCCAACTTGTTTTATTTATTTTTTTTTGTGCGCGCGTGTGCGTTTGTGTCTTGTAAAATTTCGCAGTTCTCAGTGGGCAGATAAGAGTCGAAAGAGTCGCCTCTCAACAGTTTTCCATTTGGCCTACGAAAAGAAAGGAACGCGCAACACACCCGTGCAGCTATCTACGGCACACCGAATGCTAAATACTCTATTGGATATTTCGATTTCGATAAGTATTTTGCAGATAAGCACGGAGAGAAGTAAAGCTCGAACTAGCTTAATGTGGTCAGGTGATCTTGATAAGCCCCGGAAAGTATGTTAAACTAACCTGACTGATTGATTGTTGATCAAAAAGTCATTTGCGACGTTTTCACAATTTTTGCAAATTTTCAAAGCCCCACATAGAATTTCCACCTGCAACAGTGGCAACTTGGCGAAAAACCCATCTTTCACTCACTCTTGAATGGAAAATGCGGGTTAGAGTTTCAAATTATACGACTTCAAGATGCTCAACACAAGGCATATAAGGGTGGAAACTTTTGCTGTTTGATTCGATGCACTTTAAGCATATTTTTTTCAAGTATGTTAAATGTTTCTTGTGGATGAACTTGCCTGATAATACCCGCAAATATATGTATACTCTATATAAATGTTCAAAGACTCGTTTGTAGTTTCTGCCAAAATGCATATACCTTTAGCAAAGGGTATATCAAGAAGAAGCTAATAAGAAGCACGTAACATCTGATAAAGGGGAGGCTTGCATCGATAAATTCAGTGCCAGGGTTGCCAACTTGTTTTGTTGTCGCTGTTGTTGTTGTTGTTGTCGCTGTTGTTGTCGCTGTTGTTGTTGTTGTAATTGTGAAATTGTTTATTATGAACGCAATTAGTGCGGCGTGTGAGTGGCAAGATAAATCAAAAGGATAACTGCGATAAGCAGCGTCTCCAATTGGATTGAGCTTTCCCAATTGCGGCTGCCGCAGCATTTCGATAAACGATAACACGTTTACTTTTCTTCTTCTTCGTTTAAGTGATTACAGCTTATGAGTTATTGTTGTTGTTGTTGTTGCTGCTGCTGTCGTAATTATTATTGATATTATTTACTTTAATCTGCTGCAGCGCGATCTGCAACTTAATTGCAATGGGTAAAAGTGTATCCCCCCCCCCCCCCCTGGCCTTGTGACGCGTGCGGCACACTTTTGCGAGCCGAAAGGGGAAAAAAATGTGTAATTTGTAGCAATTTTGTCTTGAATATGCCGCATGAAACTGGGTCAAACTTTTATAGTTGACCGCCATAAATGGCATATGACGCGAAACCCGAAGCCCAGTAGGGGTAGGAGGGGGTAGGGGGGGAGCGACAGTTCCAGGGTGCCACAATAAAAATTTAGTTTAATGAAAGTGTTTTTATATATATTTATGTTCCTTTTTTTTTGGGGGGGGGGGGGGGGGGTTGCATTTTGATGGCTTGATTGCCCATGCTGGGATTATGATATAGTTGGTAGATCAGAGCTCGATTCCGATGACGATTACGATTACGACTGCGATTATATTGCGCGTTGTTTCCCCCTCCCCCCTCTCTTTGTGCAACCTCGAAAGCGCGTTGAAAGCGCAACGATTCATGATTTTGTTGAAATTTCTTTGCCTTTGCCGTCTGTCTGGCACTTATTTATTTCGCCTTGGCATTTATGGCATCATTTTGGCCATCATTTGGACAAGTCAACATAATAATGATAATGCTCAT